CTGCTCTGCCAGAGGAAGGTGGCTGTGGCGCTGAGGCCGGTGCAGCGCTCGGTTGTACATCCTGTGAGCTGTATACCGAGCGTCTCGCCCCGGGACTTCCCCCAGCTGCTTCCCGAGCTACTGCTACCTCACTTGTGAGGTCGTTGTTTGGTATTTCATGCCTTGGTGCCACTGTGCCTCATTCTTGCTTTAACGCAGGGGGAAAGTAGTTGTGTTGTACTTCCCCAAACGAGGGTTGAGGCTGTCGGTGAGAACGCCGGTTAGGCTGTCGGAGATGGGAATGGCTGGTGAGAAAGGAAATACGTGGGGCCGCATGCACGTCCCAGTTAACAGCACTTGGTCAATATCGGCCGGTACTGAAAACACTTAAAAGGAGAGAGACTTCCACATCTGCACTGCCTGCATCTTGCTATTCCCCTTCGTTCTAGGAACTTTGGAAACCGAGTGATGAAATGTCCTTTTGTGATACGTGTACGAGATCAGTGCAACTATAATACATAGATACCTTCCTAAATGGTTTACAGAGAGAGGGATTAAAAAGTTTACAGCTTTGTTTCTGATTTAGCAGATGCGCCAGCTTTTGTACTGTGCAATCTGACACTTGCAGACATCTGCTCTAGTGGAGGAAATCCAGTACAGTGTGCATTTACAGTATACTGTCAGTTAGGGTAGCTGGCCTTTTATTTAAACTAAAGATTAGGGAGGACCAATGCCTCGTAATTGTTGGGAGAGGTTGCCATTTTTATTTTTGGTTTTGGTTCACAAATGTAGGTAATGAAACCGCTACCTTCCACTCCTCTCAAAAATTTTCCAAATAGCCATTTTTGATGTGGAAGAATAACTAAAATGGGGTAATGGTTAGTGCTCTATGTCACAGTGAAGAATCCTTTAGGTAAAATTTGTGGGACGTAACATTCTAGCGACGGGCCTTTGAAAACCAGGAGAATCTTAAGAATTTAGGATTTTTTTTCCAATACATAATTATAAGGATCTGAAGCTTCCCCCCTCCTCCCCCTCAGTGCAAACTCTATGATTTTTGTAAAAGGAAAGCATTCTTGTCTGCTGCTATTAAACGAAGCAACATTCAGTTTAGTTTCTGAGTTAGATGGATTATTTGCTGTGTTACTTGTTTTTATGTTAATCTTCCCTTCTTTGCTCAAGGTTCAAAAATTCTGTCATAAGAATTCATCATCATGTGATATTTGAAACAAATTGAGATACTTATCAAAGTATATTGTGAGCTACTGACAGATCTATGAAAATCTTCTGTCTGTTGAATTTTGGCATTGCTGGAAAGCCCTCTTGTTTATGGTTTTTCCCTCCCTGTTGCAGTCCCTCTTCCTCCCTGTGTGGATGTTTGTTCACTACTGCCATCTCTTGGATAGAGGCAGGCCTGCTGAACATTTATGATGGTTGTCCTCTAGTGATTGGTTTGTAAACAGAATATAAATGCTGCTATACTTGCCCCTCAGTGGAGACTTGTCTTTAGAGAACATGGCAGTTGGAAAGGCTGAGTCAGGAACAGATCCTGAAGGTTATCTTTTCACTTACAGACATGGATCAAGTTTTGATAGTAATTTCCATGCTTTTTATCTTCGTTTCCTTGGGAAATGAGGTCTGTGTGATTCCACATCTTCATGTCTTTGCTTACTAGGAATTGAACATGTTAGTCAATTTTAACCAAGTTTGAAAGCGGGATAAAGGTTTGAAAACAATTCTAGTCCTATATATTTTCTAAAAATTGAGGGAAGGGTCAAAGAGAGAGGCTGTTGTTCCACGTTTTGTTTGGCAGTAGTCCTCCATCTAGTCAGCACATGCTTATAGGCCAGCTGGATGGTACACACATGAAATTAACCATAGGATACCATGGGTGAAAGTGTCATAAGGGACACCAGTGGCAGCAGGGGTTTTAAGGATGATGTTATGGAGAGTTCAAGCAATAAAGGATACCCATTTGAAGGTACTAGACACAGTTGTTCTGCTGTTACCGGAGCAGCCTTGTGCACTCAGCATACTTTTAAACCATAGTTTCTTTTCTTTCTTTTTCCCTAAGCTATATGTTTCAGTATACACACCTACAGTTGTGAAGGTGCTGTTTTTTAAAAAAGATGTCTTTCAAAAGATGGGTGAAGGATCTTGTGAAGGGTGAACGATGGGTGAAATAATTTTTTCCTGAAATAATAATACAGAAAATGTTAGAGTCCTTTGGTATACGTGGAATCATTTTTCACATTTACAGGAAGGTGCATATATTGCGTGAGATTAATCCCAAATAAATATCTTCAGTCTTCAACCTATCAGATTTTTTTTTTTTTTTAAATTAATGCAACATATTTTGTGCCCACCTGATCTAAAAATGCGCAAAAGTATGCCAGGTTGTAAAGATCTTATTATGTGTATAAACAGTAGAACAGCTCTCAAAAATCAAGTCAAATCTTGAATGAAACAATTTAACTTTCACCAAGAAGGGTATTCCCAGACCAAATTTTCTGGTCAATGTTATCATAAATGACTGTCATTAATGTTGCTAAAATGAAGACAGTGGTAATGCTCATTAAAAATCGGTATTTTCTTTAATGTAGCTTTGGAATTAAAAAATCCTTTGTGTCTTGAAACTTGGCAGCACATCCCACCAATTTCTGAGACCACTTTAGGACCACATAGTTAGTCTACTTGTAAGTTGCAGGAATGTAGAATATGTTAAATATTTTCTCCTTGGTGAGGGCTAATAACTTTGGAGGTATTGCAAAGGTATTTAAAAATTAGTAAAATATTTCTATAGTAAAATGCATAACTAGTACTGATTTTTAGATGGCTGTGACAAATGGTGTGGGATGATTTGGAGTTGAACATTGTATTCCTAATACAAAAATACTCTTTATTAGTATTATATTAATCATGAACTAATTAAACATAAACATAAATTAATCATAAATAAACCATAAAGAGAAATCTACATTAATTTAACAATTATAATCTAAATCTTCTAAATTTTGAAATTTTTAGTTACAGCTTCTTTAACATCTTTTCAAGAGTGCTTTTACTCTAACTATGTAATGGTAAAGGATGGACTCACATCAGACTTAACACTATTTGCAAGAGGTTTCTGTTACTGTTTTTTTTAATTGTCAGCCTTGCATATGGTTGCAGGGTTCTGACATAGAACTTCTGCATGTATTTTTAACTTCTAATAGAAATTCTGTAGGTAAGCAATGCCATGAGTTATATTTTCATAAACTTGCTAGTCATTAATTATACAGATATTATTGGACACAATCTAAAGACAGATGACTTGCTCAGATGTAATCTGCGCAGCATCAGTTATGGTAATCTCGCGAAATAAAGTCCACAAGGCTACTGCAGCACAAGGAACTTTGTAAATCTTTGAGAGGAATAAATTCTTTTTACTTGCAAATGGAGCATATAATGTTATCAGGCATGTATTTTTAGTTTGATTTAAAAAAAAGTAAAAAAAGCACACTGTACTGTTAAACGATTTAAAAAAAAAAGAGTAAAAAAAGCACACTGTACTGTTAAACTTTAAAATTAGAGCAGTACTAATCAGGCTCCTGTAGAGGTGAAGTAGAACAGGCCTTGGAAACTTAAATGACTTCTTTAGTGTAATGTGTGAGGTGTGTCAGAAGTGAGAATCAGACTCATAGGCTTCTGATTCCTGGAGCCAAACTGCAAGGCTGTACTTCCTCCCTACTAGTAGATTCGCTAGACGTGTTTATTTTATAAATCTTGATTAACTATGTGACAGTATTGAAATATTCCAAACAGTGACTGTAATAAAGTATCGTAATATACAACTAAATTGACATATATGAGCGTCCAAGGAGAAGAGGCCAAGAGACATACCACTAGCTAATACTATTTTCCTATGTTGTACATTAAAAGTTTTCATCTTTCATCAGCTGACCCAAATTCATAAGGAACTCCCTTTTCATAGAATACCAGAACTATATAGCTTTAATGTCATGCCAAGGGTGGCATTGCTAAATTGTGAGTTTTTCATGAACAGATGCGACAAAAATCCCACTGGCAAGTCACAGGATCCACTATTAGCCCGTTAAAAAGTACAAGCGCATAGAATATGCAGGAGTAATTGACTGAGAATTCCCCAAATCAATGCCTCATCACTTTGAATGTCAGTTCCCTGTCTCCAGCCTAAATGCCCACATAGCTAATTGTTGCTGCAGTATGAGTTTGACTGAGTGAATCACTGAAAGCTTTTGCTCTAGATGTTTCTGAGGAAACATCTCTTCTTGTTTGCAAAGAATGAATAGCCTGATTTAATGCCTGTGAATAGCATGAAACCTTGTCAATGGACTTCAGGGACAAGTGTCTGTGGGAGTGTGTTAAAATAATGTACAACAAAAAGGTGTAAATGTTGATGTGGATGTCATGAAGTTATTTTTATTCTTCTGAAGAATACATTTTTCTTTTTCTGTCAGGTACTCTAGTGCCACAAATACATCTTTATTCAGAAGATTTTATTCTGTGGCTATTTCTGGGTGTGAGTAGTCAGTGACAGAGGGGAGAAAAGTATGAGACTCTTTGCTAAGTTTTTTTTCTTAATGCCAAAGAGAAATGCATTCTTTCATTTGCAAACTTGCTTTCATTGTATGTGGACTACGTGAATGCTTTTCACAGAATTTCAGTAGCCTCAGTTGATGTTAGAATAAATACGTATCACTTTTACTTACACTTATTATGCTGTCACTAGAGTTCATACAAAAGTAAGTATGTATAATAAAAACTGGAAAGAAAATACTTTCCCATGATTGTTGTGTGGTCATTTTCTTTTTGGTGGCATATTGCCCTTCACCATTGCGTAAACCATTGTGTCATGCTTGAGGAGCTTAGGTTGAATAATAGATTATCTTTGAGGAAATCCTTGAGAAGCAGTGTTGTCTAATGGGCTAGAACATATGAGATTTGTGTCTTTTATCTCTTTCTGTCATTTGTTTCCTCAGTGACTTTGGACAAATCATTTTCTGTTTGTGCCTCTGTTGCCTTACGCTTATGTAGAAATGCTTTAACTCTGCAGAGCTGAAGAATTTCCGTGAAAGGTATGTGCTTCATTACTAGAGTAAATATTAGAGGTTCTTAAAAAAAATGGTTCTAGAGATTTTTGGAGAAAAAGAATTCACTTAATATAAGTAACACAACTCTATGCACTGTATGAATAGCTCTGGTTATCAATACCATAGGCAGTATTTTAACTGATGGTCAAATATTTGCCATAAAGAGTTTGGACCATGTGTCTCCTTTTCTTATATCTGTGTAAGTCAGGGGTAAAGCTTGAATTTAGCAAAGTTGCATGGCTATTAAAGAAGCATAACTGTTGGAAATAGGAAGCTCTTTAGTGTTAACTTACAATTTAATTGAAGAAAGAAAGTTCAGTCATTCTTCTCTACGTCTAAATAGATTGTGTCCCTGTCCCCGCCCCTCCCCCCCCCCCCCCCCCCCTGCCGCTCTGAGCTTGCCAGCCACTTGTTCCCCTGCCCCCGCCCCTCCCCCCCCCTTCCTTTTTTTTAGACGGTGAAACAAAGGTGAGTACTTTCAGACCATGCTACCCATTTGCAGAATCTTCTCTACAGCTTAGTTGGAGGAAGATGATGTTCTGGCAGGAACTTTTTTAGACTCCCCCGCCTCCTTGTAATTTATTT